GTGTGTGTGTGTGTGTGTGTGTGTCTATATATATAATTTCAAAATTCAAATGATACACAAATATCAAAAAAAATCTTGAAAATCTCACATTCTAATCTTGAAAGTCTCAAGTCTCACATTCAAGTTGGTATACATTATTTATGATAGGAGTAATTATGAAATACATTTTAGAAAGAATTTAAAAATACTTTAAAATGTGTACTTATTGACAACTATTTGATAAAAAAGATGACTTAAAGACGAATAAGTTTGAAAATGATACTTAAAATCAAATAAATTTTGAAAAAAATACTCATATTCCATTATGTCTATTTTTTTAACAAAAGACCAAGCTTGTGGATAGGCCCGAATTGACTCATGTGATGATCCGTACTCCCTTCCACGTCACGGGCTACTGAAAGCCACACCTGCAGCCGGACCCAGCCCTCCATTTCCAAGCATTGGTCCGACCCGGCCTGGTCAGGAAAATTTTTGGAGGGCCGCACATGGACATCCTAACCCCCAAATAATGTTCCCCTCCCACCCTAACACACAACAGAAAGAGAAAAAAAAAACAAAAACCCATTACGTGATATATAAGAAATGATTTTTGTAATCGGTGATGACACGTTTATGTTTCCACACCAATTGCTCCCAAGTCTGTGATAAGACCTGGCTGGCTGGCTGGCTGGCTGGTTCTATGTCAGTTCAAGCTAAGGAGTCAACATAGAAAATAAAGAAAAGACAAAACAAAGGAGAAGGAAACCAAAATGAGAATCTATATAGTTTTCATTCCCCGCTTAATCCGGCGACAGATGAGATGTCACAATTTGCCTGTGAGGAGGTTTGAATTATTTCAAGAGAGGCTGCAATACCATACATATTGTGTCGTTTTCATGCATCTTCCAGTCACCATGTTATCATAAATGTAAGAGTTGGATCCAGGCACCAATTGGGGTCCCGGTATTCTAAACTAATTAAGTCCACAACCACAAGAATGAATTCAAAAAAAGAAAATCAAACTATTCTTTGATTAAAAAAATCCCATTAAAAAAGAATATGATGCGAATTTTTAATGTTACAAAAACCCGAATCCATACAACACGATTCAAATTTATCTCAATATGATTACCCGTGATTTGGATACACCTGTCCAATCCATGCGCATAACAGAAGGAGGTGACCAAGAAGGTGTCATGCCTACTTTTATTAGCCTCACTTCAATGGGACCTTCAGTGCTCTCCCCTACATTGTTCAGTTAAACAAGAAAAGATAACATGCCGTGGCAGTTGAACTAAAAGTTTGGGCTCAAAACAACTACCAAAACCTTCCCCCACCACCATCACTAATTCCTACCCCCATATTTTACAAAGAACTGATCAAACAATCCATGGCTACAGAAGACTTCAGCTTCCCAACAATCACAGATACTCCGCCCCGATTCATCGAGTCACCACCGTTGTGGCGGTCACCTTCCTTAGCCTCACACCAGGTAGAAACCAGAAGAGAAGCTTCAAGAGCAGATGATCATGGAGAAAATACCTTCCCTGTGCCTAAACAGATCAGTTATAGTCAACGAAAGAGCTTTTCGTGTATAGAACGTGGGGCGAGAATCGAAAGTAGTGATGATGAGGATGATAAGATGGATATGTTATGGGAGGATTTCAACGAAGAATTTTCGAGATCGTGTGAGTCTGGGCTAGAGTCTGATATTTCGCCGGGGAGGATGGTCGAATTGAGCTGTGTTCAAGCCTTGAAATTGTCGAAAAACGGCGGCCACGCTCTCGCCAGAAAGAGGCCACCGAGCTTGGTGGTGTTCATGAAGGTTTTAAAGAAGTTCTTCTTGGTTCATAACTCTCATCGTCCAATCAACAAACGGTCACGGTGATCAAGTTTGGCTGCACTTTTTCTACTTTGAGATTCAAATTGCTTATAATTTTATTGATTTTAAAATCCTCTGAACTATGCTCCTTCCTTGCTTCAGGTTGCCCAATGTGAGAAAACAGATATATAGATTGGGGGTTACATGAAACAAGAAGCATAATTCAGGGGTATAAATATAATTTTCTCTTTCTTATTGACGAACCAGAGAGCCGCCATTGGGCTGCTTGATGAAATGAGATTGATTATTCGCTGTGAGATAGCTGGGTGTATGTGACAGAGAAAGACATGCTGATTGCTGAGTTTTTTTTTTTTTTTGCCATGTCTGATGTTACAATGTAAAGAGTGGCCATGCCATATAATTATTGAGACAATATATGTAATTATCTTTATTTATTTATGCACGAAATGCCAAATAAATAGCAAATCAAAATAAAAATTAAAAAAAAATACAAAAAATACGAATTTATATGGTTCGCTTTGAAAGTATGCGCTCAAAGGAATAGCGCAACGACAAAAGTACACTATAAAAGTTAAAAATTCCAAAGTGTTCTCTCAAATGAAAGTAAGAAAACAAGTAACCAAAATTGTATTGAATTTTATAAATTTTTTGAAATCTTGGTGAAATTAGAATGTTAAATAAACATTAGTCCCGGGCCGAACCCATGAACTAAAAGGGTATGCTTGAATGGCAGAGTTGGAGTGAATTAAATATCTAAAAAAATATCATTTCTTATCTAATCTAAATCCATTTAATTATTATCTAGATAGGATATGTATATCCAGTCATTTCTCTTGTTTGGGTAGAGTATGCATTTTTGTGGAGCTCACTAATAAGAGTATTGTAATTTGCTTTTATTGACTATTATACCCCTATTTTATTCAATGCAACATCATGTTTAGTTTATAAATTGAAAATTTTTACATAACACAAATGAAATTTAAAAATTAAAACTCAAATGCATATCATCTCTTGGATGAGTGTGGGATAAGTGGGTTTCATTGCAAAAATTAATGAGACTCACTCTTCCAAAAGACGATATACATTTGAATTGAAATTTTTTGAGTTTTATTTAAATTTTATAGCATAACAAAAAAAGTATACTTTCACATCTATTTTTTTTAATAACTCATNAATGAGACCCACTCTTCCAAAAGACGATATACATTTGAATTGAAATTTTTTGAGTTTTATTTAAATTTTATAGCATAACAAAAAAAGTATATTTTCACATCTATTTTTTTTTAATAACTCATTCAAATATAAAATAAATATTTTTAAATATATTGTAACCATAAAAAAAAAAAAAAAGAAGCGAGGTGTGTTATAATGAGCAAGAAAAGAGAACATCGACTTAAAAATTAAAAAAAAAAAACTCAATTACAATCAACAAGTTTTAAATTGGAAGGAGAATGAATCTCGCAGAATACGGAATATTTAAAAATTAAGGTACTAATAAATAGCATCTTTCAACCACTAAATATTTATATACAGAGACTGCACACTTGCGGTAGGTAGGCTTTTATAATAATAGTATGACAATGGCACTACAACACATATATGTTAGGCATAGACAGCTTTTTACATTTTGTTATAGGATGATTATATCCTCTCAGATAAGACAATCAATTGAGCACCCTCTACTTTGTTACACTTGATTCTGTTGGGTCTTTGTGAAGTATAGTTTGTGTGTTGATTCGGATGATAATTTGATCCGAAATAATTTTACGTAATTTTTAATAGAAAATTTTTTGAAACTTGGTCCATGGAGCGAAAACTGTCCTCTCTATTCCGCTATCTCAATAGTGAAATTCTTGCAGTTTTGTAGATGTAGACAAATTACTGAACCACGTAAAATTTTTATGTCTTATTTTTTCTTATTTTCTATTACTTTATATTCTTAGTTTATTCTTCGATTGTGTATATTTGTCTGTAAATTTAAAGCGTGTTAAATGCTAACAAATTCTTCGAAGGTTTTCTCAATTGAGAGGTTAATCTTACCAAAGGGCAAGACTTTGATATCTGATGTCTCTCATGCTTGGGGTTCGATTATACCCCTTTTTTTGGGGTTTGTTTTAACCCATGCCTGGGTATTTTCTTGTCTGTTATAGATGATGCTTTTTTCTATTTTGGTTTAGTTGATTTTTCATCCTAAATTGTGATTTACCTATGTATATATGAAAAATAGCCAAACAGGTTGGATCATTTTAATGCCTAGTTTTATCAATTTTGGCCAAGTTTTGTAATCTTCCATTTACTTTGTTAGATTCTATTAGTAAATTCATACGAGTCTCATTGTCATTCAATAAGACCTAATAAATTTTTGAACTTGATTGAAGTGATCGAATCTTGAGCAAATAGTACTCGTAAATTAGGAAACTAAACTTCAAGTGGGAAAAATAGGTGGGCTAACTAGAGCGACCTTAGACCAAAGAAAAAAAGAAGTGAAAATTGGTCAAAGGTCCCTCTAAATGGTCCTTTAAGCCATAAAATACAAGCACAACATTTTTAAAATGATAAATACTAATGTTTTGTTTAATATGATAAAAAAATAAGAAGATGAAAAATTGGAAAAATGAAAAATTAGAGGGATAAATAAAACATCATGTTTAATAAGGAAGGAAAGTAAGAATGATGAAAAAGTAGATGAATTAACTTTCCTTCCAACTCACTAAAATTAATCCCTCTAAAATCGGAAAGAAAGTGGATGAAAAATTAATTATTTGTGTTGAAATGTATCTTATTTATCTATATATCTTTTTATATATACATATATTATGTATATATTAATTTCATATAAAAATACAATGGTAAAATATGTATGTGTATATGTATATATTAAAAAAATTTAAAAAAATAAAAAATTTAAATTAAAAAAATAATTTTTTTTCCATCTTAACTAAGGGTGAAAATTTTCGACTTAACACGATCACACGATTCAAACTCGATACGAAAATAAACATGTCAACTCGCAACTCGACACGATACAATTAGTTAAATAATTTTAAGTTAAGTTTAACTAATATTCGACACAAACCCACAATAACTCAACACGAATCTCATACGACACGACTCGATTGTCACCCATAATCTTAGTCATCCAACCAAACACAAAGAAAGGAAAATATATCCTTCCTATTTTCTATCCTTAAATGATATAAAGTATATCCCTCTTATTTTTCATCTTTCCTACTTTTTATCCTCCCTACTAAACGGAGCACAAGTTTAAGTATACTTTTTTGTCATTTATTACTTTCTAATTAAATTATTTTTTTTAAATGACCACCAAACCTTTCAGTCATGCCTATCTCCCAAATCGTGTGCCCTGTTTTCAAACACGTCACAAAAGCTCTCTCTCTCTCCCTTACCCTCCATGTCCTTCCTCGGATGAACTATAGTAGCAGAACTGTCGCACTCCAACCCAGTAGGGTCCTTTTTATCTTTCCAAAGGGTGGGGTGGATGGATTATCCCTCTTGACACCTGTTGCTAAATAGTATATAAATGGATGGATACATCGCACCCTTTACTTAAGGATAACCACAACGCACCTTTATAAATACCATTCCAGAATAAACTTTAAACCAACATTTATACATCATTCTAACAATCATTCTCTCTCCCTCCTTATCGGAGAGAATTAGTTCAAACAACCCAAAGTCACCTGAGCCATATAACTACATTGCATCACCCTTCTTTCTAACTCTAGACTATACATCGAATTGGACAGGACTTCAAACACCTGAAACACCAAAATCAACTATGGATGTATAAGCTTTACAACTCGCTTTTTTTATTATTATTATTATTTTTTTTTTTTTGAGGAGAACTTGAACCTTTGACCTCAAAAAAAAATAAAACCTTCACAAGGCAAGGAGCAACTCGCTTAATGAGCATGTGAGTAACATATAATAAGAAAAAAGTAAAACAAGTATGGATCACATTTTGAGTAACAAACAACTATGTTAGATTATATTTGTAATTGGTTAATTTTATGGAGTCCATTGTAAATCTCAACATATTCTATGGTCATAATGCTATTAAGTTCAAGATCTGAAAGCGTCAGTGAAAAGAGGAGATTAAGCATTAAATCAATATCATTTAACATCTGTATGCACCTTCATAATTAGGATAAGATAATGACCTAGACATCTAAAATGAATTCTTAGTTATTTTTAACTTAAGTTGATTAAGATAAAAGTGGAATTGACAATAATCCGATTATGACTCCTAGGTAATTTTTAAAGAAAAGATTTTCTAAATCATCTATGAGCTTTAAAAACATAGTTTGAGTCACAATCGGACCCCTCTTTGAACAATACTCTTTAGTGCTAAAGAATACAATTTTTTTCATGGTTTTATAACTTAGGAAAAGAAATGGGAAAAGGCCACGGAAGGCAACACAGGGCTCACTTGATCAGTCATTCATGGTCGCTCAAGCAATTCTTGCCTTAGTTGGGTTTAAAACGTGTCATTCCAGCAACAACCGCCCTATGACCACCCTCCCACCGATCAAACAGTCATTCGCAAATTTGAATTTTCTTATTTATGAAAATTACCTTTATTCAAGACTTATAAATAGGGAGAGTCTTTCTCACATTTAGGCAAGGTCCCTTGTGAGATTTCAAAAAGAGAAAATCATCTTTCTACTTTGAGAGCTTTCGTCACAACCTAGATCTCTAAGACTCAAAAGGCTACCACTAGAGATTATACCCAATTTCACAACTTGGAGAAAAAGTTCTTGATGATTTGATAAATTAACCCATTGGTGTGGCATACCAAGGATTGTTGGCTTTGCCATGATTGCTCGACGCCTAGACGAATTGTGTGGCAGGGAGGTCTAAGTGAAGTTACACTAGATATTGAAGGAGGGCCTTTGGCAAAAAGACAACAATTAAATGAGCATCTAACCTTGGTATTGGTTGAGATATAAGATTTGAGTACTTGTATATTGACTTAGAGAATAGTAGAATAGGTTTTGGTGAACCAAGAAAATTCCCCACGATTTTTCTTGAAGAGAGTTTTCGAGTCAACAAATCAATTGTATTCTTTATTGTTTGATTGTATACACTTGTGATTATTTGCACACACACGTACTATGTGTTTGTTGATTTGATTGATTGATATCTATTCAACCATAGTGTGTAAATTGGGTTTGAGTTATTAGGATTTATGTGAGTTGATTTTGAGTGAATTAATTGAAGATTAATTAAATCAATCTTCATGTGCAAAAAAGGTTGTGGTGAATAAAAGGTTCTCACAATAATTGTTATATCTTTGTGAAAGAAGGTAATTATGGTAGTTTAGGTTTTAATTGGTAA